AATCAGAGTTCCAATGTCATTGTTTATTGTCCATATTTGGTGTCCTTACAGCCCTCAGGTTTCTTTTTAGAAGTGTGTAGATGCTCTGTGGCAAAGCTCTGAGACAACAAAATGGAGACAACAGAAATGGGCTTTTTGAGCCACAGGAATAAGCTGTGAGTTCTGAGGACAGGCAACCTCTAGAGCTGCTTTGAAGGGCATTCAAATACAGATGTAGGAAGTACAAAAAGACCAGACAATTGAAGAGGAAACAAAGATGTCTGCGGGGAATTTGAGGCAAGGTGCATCACTGACAGAATCTGTGACTTCAGATCTCCCCTCTCTTGAGAGCTGTTGACAAGAATGTGAGCTTTGCACACAGCATTCTCTTCTTTATGAAATACCACCCTCAAAATAAGGCAAGACAGGAACAGTGTACCCAGCAGGACCAGAGAAGTGATTGTCCTCCCGTACTYRGCACTGGTGAGGCTGCACCTTGAATACTGTGTTCATTTTGAGGTCCCTCACCACGAGAAAGACACAGAGGTAAAGGAGGGTGTCCAAAGGAGCGCAATGAAGCTGGTGAAGGGGCTGGAGCAGAGACCCTGTAAGGAGTGRGTGAGCAAGCTGGGGTTATGTAGTTTTACACAGGAATTTCCATATGTTGAAAAGCAGAAGGGAAAAGAATCAGTGGTTCATACATCTTTGTGACATGGTGCCAAGTATCAATGATGCTGTTTCAGCTGGAAGCTGTGATGATTGCCTGCAGGAGTGACAAACATCAGACGGAGAAGAGTTCCCAGTCTCCTAAGAATGTTCAAATCCAGCTCCTGAGCAAYTGAGCCACACTGGATTACAATCTTACGTGTCAGATGTTATCTAGAGGGTAAAACTTCAACTCATGAATGATGCAGTAAGTTACAGTCCTCACGGGCCCTGTAATGCCAAGAGCTCAACCATTTTTGCCTGAATCTGAGAGTCTTTAATGAATGATTTGTACATGTTTGCACACCTGATGCAATGCTTTGAATGTTGTACAGCTTTGAATAGATCTCTGTGAAATGAGAGATCAGCTTAGGACAGTACTTACCATTAAACAAACAGTATGTATTCTCAATCTTTCTGAAAATATCTTTTCTATACATATTTTATTACATTGAAAAYGGTATAAATAGCATACCTTTTGGAAGGATCTGTTTGCCTTTTTTCTTCTCTTTGTTGGCTTTCCTTTGAAAAGCCAATACCATTTAAGACATCAGGAGGAACAGCAACCTTTAAGCTATCCAAAAGCATATTGTAAAAGATCCCACCAGAAGAATTATCTCGATATTTATAGCATAACCTGGATAAAATAAGAATTTAAAATAACTCAGGAGATTGGAAACAATGTATAATACAAATGACTGAAGGCAAAGATGATCTCGGGAACACATTTGCTTTCCTTRTTCAGCTAAGAATACTATTTCAAGGCTATCTTTAGGTTTTGTAAACTAGCCTTTCTGGACTCTTTTATAGCTTACAGAGAAATTAGGAACCAGCTTAAACACTGAATGATTATTTAGAGGAGCTCCACTGACTCTAGAAGGAGCCTAAAGAGACATTATCCCTAGTGAATACTCAGCATCATTAACACTTGGATTATATTATGGTCAATTGGAAGAGACTTGTCTCACTTGACACTGGCCTGTCAAATTTGGATGCAACAGTGGAAGAAGCAGGTGAGAACATGGCCACTGCATGACTATACCTGACAGAAAGCATGAATGGAAGCCCCTGTTTGCCATAACTTGCAGTCTGACATACAAATGTAAAATTAAATCACTTGCAGCTTAAATTAATACTGCTGGCTGTGAACTCTAGCAGCTCAGGAGCAGACTCGCTGTCTGTACAGACCCTCTGTTATGCTGAAGGCAACTTCCAGCAGGGTGTTTGGGTGAGTAGCTCTCTGGGCCAGTTAAATTACCTCCTTAAATCATTCCAGTATAAATTAGCAGAGCACATGAATCAGAGCCCTTGTCAACACCATGTCACTGCTTCACTGAGCAGCTCAGCCTTCCAAGGTTTCACTCATGCTCATAAAGCTTCTGGGCATTCCTGGACGAAAGTAGAAGGCTCCTGTACTTGTACTGAGGAAGCAAAGCATTCACTACACTCAGCTTACCCACAGCGCTCGTTCTATTTATACTGCCATTAAAAAACACCTTAAAAAATACTTGGAACTTAACACCTATACCTTCTTTCTCAAATAAGTAAATAGAAAAGGAAAAAAAAAAAAAAAAAAAAAGCAAGCTTCCGTTTCTTTTGAGAAGTCTAATCCATAACATACACACTGCAGGAGAAAAAGTGTCAGAGGGATGAAAAAGAGAGGAAAGAATCTCAATTTCTGAGTATCTGCTAAGCCCTGCTCAGTTAAAACAAGTGTAGCCTTCACACAGAAAATGTCTGTGAACACCATAGCACAACATCTGTTTTGTGAGCATAATCCATAAAAGGCTTCCAAATGCCCTTAAAAAGTGTTTTCCAGTCTGAATGTCATTTCACAGGAAGCCATCTGGGAGAAGCCAGTTATTCTGCTGCAACGACAGCAGTATTGTCCTCAAGTGCCTCAGGATGAGTCACATCAATGCAAAAGTCCAAATACAGTAGGAGCCCCCCAAAGCTGAGGTATCATTTCAAATAAAAAAAGACTGATGTAGCTGAACCACTGGAATTCAGAATGTAATTCAGTCACTTCATCACCTTTTGCTCCGAAACCTTGCATTCCCAAAAATACCCATATTAAATCCCCAGTCTGGAATGTCATAACATTCTCGGCACAAGTGTGTCAGTTTTAACCCAGTAAGTGTGCATTTAATAGAGTCAATTACATCTTCTTTACTTATTATTTTAAAATGCAGCATTTTAAATGTGGTATCTCTACTTTAGAGCAGTGAACGAACAGTGCCATCCACTGTTTCTCTGTGTAATCCACAGYATTTTCTTAGGGTAGTTTTAAATAAGGTTTAACATAAAAATTAGTACCATGAAAAAAAATGTATAGATCGATAAAAATGATGTGAGTAAAAATATGTTTTTAAGGAATCATCTAAATCACTGAATGGTAACTGTAAAAATAGATTATCACCTAGTAGATATTTTCAAAACACCTCTTTAGCTGTGACTGAGCCATTCTAACTTAATTAGCTATCTTTTATTCATTTATTTTAATACAAAACATTTCTCCAATCAAGTAGATTATTAAACTGTTATGTACAAATCCCCACTTCATCTTACTAAAAAATTAAATTTCATCCTCAATATGGTCCTCTTCTCTCTGGAACATGGTGCTGTACATGGTATTGCTAAGAGCAGGGTTTTTCAGAAATGTTTTCTAGGGAACAACTAATACAGTGTGAATGAGACTCTGTTTTCATGGACTGAACATGGTCGATACAAGAATATATAGCAATTGATGTCCCTGAATGTCTTTKTCAATGGAATTCAAACTTTATCTTTTACATGCATTTTTAAGATGCTGCTCTTATCAGAAGATTACAAGCTCATCCCATCCATGGGGAAACATGCCTGGGTTTGAGAAACACAGATTGCTGCATTGTTTGGCAGTGCTGCAGTTTGACAGTGCTCAATATTCACCATAATAGGAATCCAGAAAGTCTTATACACTCTTCTTCCTTTGCTGGAACACAACCTGAGTTGCTAGACTTGGTGAGACGGATCTCACAGGATTTATCTTGCATCCTTTTAAATCAAAGGCAAAATAGCCATTGACCACAATGATGAATGAATTAAACCCTCAAAAAGAGCCTCTCACCGCCTTTTCCTCTACATTATTTTTCTTACAGTGAATGCTTAGAATTTCAAGAAAAGGCCACTTTACAATTCAAAGTGACAGCAATTCCTGACTTCTCTTTCAAGAGAGATCTTTCTTTGACACAAATAACGGTAGAAACATTATTTAGAAAATTGGATAACTGCTGAGTCCCAGGTAATTCAAAGGATAATTACTTGTTCATGATCAATGACCAGTGATTATATAGCATACAACACAGAGCTATAAAACTGACAGATGATAAAAGCATATAGTTATAACACACTGTGCTGGAAACATGACTTTTATGAACCCAATGTATAACATCCAAAGTTTTCTCTAAGATATTTACAGAAAGGAAAATGCATACAGTGGAATTGGTCTTACTGATCAAGCTCATGCTCATTCATATTTCAGGATCAAAGATTATTTTCCAAAAGCCATTTCCTACTGATGCTGTTGTGTTTGCTCCTCACTCACAATGATCAGCAAGACACTGGGTTATGAGGGTCAGAATGGAACTGATTTATTTGATTTTCCTATTGCGTTATCAAAGGTAGGAAAGAATTCCACATCTTTCTGAAAGTYACTGAGTGTAAACAGAGAAGGCTAGAGTCTGTGGGAGAGCAGATTAAACCAGATTATAAYCTAAACGAATTTCTATTGCCACAAACACCTAGTACTGTTCCCTCCTCTTTGGATATAAATATTTTGACTGTATGTTCCCCATGTTCCTCAGTTTCGGGTTCTGCTGATATTCAAAATGAGATTTCATGTTGGCAGTGCTAAAATTCATCTCTTTGTTCATTACAGCAATAATCTATTGAGTAAAGGCACAATATTAACTTAAGTAYTTTTTATTACATTGTGTTTGGAAATGCTAAATAATATTTGATAATAGCTTGGATCTCCACTTCATCTTTTGTAGAAAAGACTTGTCTTACATTTGAAATGTTCAATTATGTCAAACTCATGAGAATACAATACAGAATTCAATTCAATACAGAATTTTGTAAATACATAAAGGATTTACCATAAACTGACCACATACGGAATGAAGCATCTTTCATCAACTTTTTCTTTTCTATAAGCTTAAGGCCAACCAAAATCCCAACTACTGCAGCTATAGCTATATATTCAAATACAGGAAGAAATACACAGCAAGAAAAGAAGTTACACTAAATCTGTTGCAATTCATATACCATCAACCTACCTCATAAATTGTTGATCGGACAAAGAGGGACAATATGTTTGTAGAATTTTTCTTAGATGACTTCTGCTAATAGTGCCGGTACACTTAGGATCATAGGATTGCAAAGTCTTATGAAAATCTTTCCAGTTTTCTCTGATCTTATCTGTAAGGATCTCTGCCACCTATAAAATAAATGAATTAGAAAAGGGAAGGAGGAGGGAATCCCTGGAGTTAAACTATCATAGTGATACTACATGAAAAAAATGTACTAAAATGGCAAACAATGTTGGAAGATCAACAGCCACTGAAATTGGACCATGTTATTACCTTCAATATTTCACACTGCAATAACAGAAGCAGTCTTCTTAATTGGTTTGTTCCATTAACCCATTTATGACCCACCTAATTTAAAACAAAGTTATATTCAATTTTAAACAATTTTAGCAATCTTCAAAGCAAGATACGACATCTGGCAGGACATTCACTTACCAATGCTTATCTTTGAAAATGTTTGCTCTGAAAACTGAAAGAAAAGTGACTAAGAAAAAGTATATCTCACGTCATAGACCTGSTCCTTTAAGCGACTCAAGAGTCATGTCTACCACTCCATAACATCACAGTCTTTTTATTGTGTTTCTCCCCTCAGTCCTGTAGAATGAATGAGTTGCAAATGGCACGCATCTTACTCGAGGCATAATTTGAAGGCAATAGACTTGCACGGAGAATAATACTGACAAAATCCAGCTTGCTGAACCTGCTTCAGGAGCTATCTCTAGCATTAGCAGTTAGAATAAAAGTATCTTTTCTCTTGTAAATTGAGTACATTAAAAACAGGGGTGTCTGATAAGAAACAAACACAGAATCTCAATTTGACAGAGAATCTCAGCACAGTTGCAGATCTGACTGAGCACTGCGCTGTGCTGGACCTCCAGTGAGAGGAAGGAGGTGGGGGGTTGTGTTGTTTCAGTGCTCTCTGGCTGAGGGCCCAGATTGTTTACAGGTTCTGGTTCTTCTCATTCCTCCTTCCAGGTCTCTTCTGACTGAACGATTTCCTGAAGGAATAATAAGAATGAAGAGACTTCTGGGGAAAAAAAAAAGTCTTCTTTTATTTGCAAAACCTGTAATCTGCCTCTTCCAGAAGTGAGTGAGCCACGGTGATGGAGCTGGTGTCATTACTCAGGACACCACTGGAAAGGATTCCTTGACACTCAGGCTACCTTGCAGCTGTTTTCTATCACGAGAAGGCTGCAAACTAGCCACAGACTCCRTAATTTACCTATTCCTTAGAGCTGAATCATTCTCCAAGTGTGAAATCACACCTGCCAGGCTCACATCATRCACAGCTACTGTCTCATCCCCAGTGGTATGTCATCCCATGGTGACCATGATCTACAAAGTTTAGCATTTCCCTTACCTGCATTCTCTCATGCTATCATTTCATTTAGGATGTTTATTTAAAATGGTAAGAATGGTAAGAATGCTATTTTGTGTGTGTGTGTGACAATCTGTAATAAAGAACCTAACCAGCTTGATACAAACACAAYTTAGTGTGTGTATCAGCTGTATATATTGACATAGTCAGTACTTGTGCTTTCTACAACATGTCATAACTACTGAAGTTTATCCCAGAATTTCACTCAGACCATTATCCTCCTCAAAAACAGCTAGAAGGGACTTGAGCTGCTGCATCAAACGTAGCTATTGTTGGAGCCATCAGAAAGGAATGCAGCCTATTCCAGTTAGGAACATCAAAGTATTTCAAAGAAATGCATACTATTCAGGACTGTTCAATGCGACCTTCTTTTTGTGTATCTAGTATCTCTCTTGACATGGCTGGACTCCTTTGATATCTCTCAAAAACACTAGCCAACCTAGCTAAGACAAAAGCTGAACCCAGAATTAGTCAGTTGACATATTAATGCAAACATAAAAGAGATTTGATACAGAAAATTATGTTCTTAACACTAGGAAGCAGATATGCAAATAGCAGCTTGAGTTATTTCTTAGTAGAATTCAGYAAGTGAAAAAGTATTGGCAATATTGTCTCTGTCTAAGGAAGCTGACATAGTAAACAGAAGTTTTGACTGCAGGATTCAGCATATACCTATCTGTATACAGGTTAAATAGTTTTAGAGGAAGATATTAAAAGGAGACTACAAATTCAGAAGGTATCAAAGCTATGCCAAGGAAAATATGCAATCTTTACGCAGCATACTACATATATTTTGGACCATTGTGCTATTATAAAAAATAACAGGTAAAACTAGAAACAGCTCTTTTGCAGAATATCAGGAAAACAGATCTGATGCCCCAAAGCTATGGACTGTTACTACTGCCCTTCTGCTGCTGTACACATGTAAGCAAGGCAGTGATTCTGGGGGAGTTTTCAAAATCTCCAGTAGCCACGGGGATTGATGCTTCTGAAGAATGCTTTCCAACTGAGCTTCAGAAGAAAAGAGTCTAGAAGTAGTGATTAGGAAGATTTAAATTGCTGGAAAGTATGTGAATGCATTTACTTAGATGAAGATTCTACATAGCATATAACATTTTATATAAATATATTCTGGCACTTTGCTGCCGCCATTGTAAACTAGGCTAACTTTAAAAAACTAAAAAAGAAACACAGGCAACTCTTTTTCTTCAACCAAGTCTAAAATCTATGATAAATCTATGATAAATCTATCTAAAATCTATTGCTAAATCTATGATAATCAAGGTATCCAGTCTGTTCTGGGTCCATTATCTGGATTAGTTCCTGAAAATCTTTTTTTTTTTTTTTTTTTTTTTTTTTTAATTAAGAAGTAATGCAAAATACGACAAATTCCATCTCATCCCTGGTCATCTTTCCATCTTGTTTCTAAGACCCACCTCCCCAAAAATATATATATATATATATACATATATATAAGAGCAAACAAGCATACTAAAGCGTCTGATTTTAACATGTTATTCTACATCTCTAGAATCATGTTCAGGTCAATTTATCACCCACATTTCATTCCTTATTTGCTCTGTACATACAAAGCTGTGTCTGACTGAAAAAGCTTGCTGTGTCTGAGGGGAGTCAACTCAGGTGTCTCTTTTTTGCTTCCAGAAAAGCTGGCTCTGCTGTATGGGTGCTAGCTTTCTCCAGGGACTACACTATACCCAAATTTATTATTAAGAGCTCTGTTGCCAACCCCTCTTCCCTGTATGACAGTAAATAATGAATTAACAATTACTGCAGTCAGGTTGTCTTCAAAGAGACAATATAAGGAGTTTGTGTCACATATACCTAAGTTAGACTTCTTCTGAAGGTGGACAGGGTTTTGTTCCCCAGTTCTACATAACCGGAGGATTTGTGAAATTAAAAGATAGAAGTTGCTTTGCTACCACGCATTAAGAAGTTGCTGCTACCACATACCCTATCCATGAATGCATTAATGAAGAATGCACAAGTCCATTAAGTGATGTCTGGAGTGATATCTTAACATCTCAGCATGTTCATGAATGGCACCTGACTCTAGGTTTATCAGTATTGGATACACACTCAGGTATGCCAGTGTTTTCTTCATGGTTAGCTTCAAGACAACAGGAAACATTTTGAGTGCAGGTTTTCCAAGGGCTGCACTTTCCAGCGGTGGTGCACAAGCACGAKAGCTTGCACAGCCAGAGTAAATACTCTGCAAAGGCTGGGTCATTCGAGAGCTCTCAGTTAAACGTTCAATGATAAGAACGTGGCAAGCCTTGAGAAATTCTATCTGCTGGCGTGTTCATAAAAAACTTTGGAGACTGACTGTCCTAGGACCTTCCTCTTCTTTTTAGCATATTTCCTTTACATCTTGATGTGCATCCTGTGCATCTGCTTTACTGCTGGCTTAGGCCTCTCAGCGCGCTTCACCCAGCTAGCAAGGCTGAATCAGGGCTTAGGGGGAGTCTGTATGTTGGGTCTGATGCCCGATCATATTGTCATGCCAATGGGTTCCCATTTAGGCTGTAAAGTAATGGATGTGTTCGTGAACAAAATCAAGGAATTTTTATGTTGCTGCACTTAAGGCACAGCTTTTCTCAAACTTCTCATGGAAAGTAATACCCATAATTTATATGGGAGAGTTTAAATATGTGTTTGTACCAATTCTTTCTTATGACTATCGGATCTATTGGATTTTAAAACTTCCTATTTGTTCTTGGATTTTTCTTGGTCTTTTTTTTTGTTTGTTTGKTTGKTTGGTTGGTTGGTTGGTTGGTTTGCTTGTTTATTTTGTCTAAAGAAAACTGAGGAAGGATAAAGTGGAGAAAAAAGAAGAAAGAGTGGAATAAAGGCTTCAGAACAATAAAAGGAAAATTAGGAGTAAATAGTTCCTCCAGTGATTCAGTTCCTGGCTAAGCACTAGACAAATATCTTTCTCTTCATAAAATTCACCCTAAGAAAATTCTGTTTCCCTTTAGTCCCCCACCGAGATCCAGGCAGGGTGGCAGTAATAATACAGAGGATGAACAATTATTTACTTCATCAGCTGGTCTGGGAAATACTTTAAAGTTCTGCAATCAAAAGATAATGGTCTTGTGAAACTACTRTCTGCTATTTGAATTTTCTTTAGAGACTGTTGTCACTGCATTAAATCATATGGAAACAAAACCTGATAATATACCTTCCTCCCCGAGTAAATAAGTTAGGGAATGTAGTACTGAAGCTACAGAGACAGTTTGTACATCACAAAAAACAACTGTACACAGTGACTACGTCTCACCTATGAAGATGGAGTATCTGTTACAATGAAAAGAAATCACATTCTGTTTAAAGGTTAAATAAGACAGGTAACGTGTACAGGTATATTAAAGCTTCTTATATACTATATCAGGCTTTACTAAGTAGATTGATTGTATTTGCTCATTTGGTCATCTTTCAAATTTTCATTTTATTTGTTTCAAATAGTTTAACTTTACTGCTGCTATCATTAACTCATAAAAATTGATCCTTCGTAAATAACATGAATGGAGTTGCACTGATTTATTCCAACAAAAAGAAAATCATGATGTTATGTACAAATATAGACCGTTCTTACATATATTCCTGTCAGTGTCAGAGACCTCAGATGCTAGGGATAAAGTGGTTCTGTTTTCAGCCTGTCTTTCCTTTCCACCACCTCGAATACCACCAACTCAAATTTTAACAAATGCTTTTGTTGAAATTTCATTCAGTAATGCCCCAGTCCAGCAAACCACTTATAATCATGCAGTGAAGTGCCGTGTTGAATCATGACCTGAATGCTGTAGGTGTTATTATTATCTACTGCAGTATATGGAACTGATTTGTCTTTTTATAAATTGCTAGGTGAATTCTTTCTTTTTGTGGTCATATATATATATGTACATAAATAAAATACTGCAAAGCAAAAGAGAATAGTTTTTACGCAATTATATTAGAAAGGAACCGTGATATATCATCTATATAAAGCCATCAGATAAAAAAATGCCAACAGTATTTCTAAAGATATGCCCAGTGCTCATTYTGCTTGTGTCAACCAGACTGAAAGCTTTAATTTTTCAGTCTATTATTTGCTCATTCAATTCCGAAATACAGACTCTACAATTTAAGAAGCGTAATACATAGCAAATCAATATAATAAAAAAATCCATCTGTCCACTAAAGGCACAATCACACAATCCCGTGCACAGCACACATATATCACGGCATTCCAACGGAAATGACAGGGAGGCACTTTAACGGAGTTCAGCACATTGTGAAGGCTGCAGAACTGGTGAGGATAGACAGTGCTTTCTTAAAAGTTTAAATTCTAGCRTCAGACATGAAAAGGGAATTCAAACTCTACAAAAAAGAAAATCAGATGAAGATACTTCTGAAGACAGAGGTAGGTTCCCATGCGCCTGTATCCTCAGTGGCGTGCCCGTGTCACACACACGTTACTGCCTACCCGTCAGATCACACACTGCAAACACAAATCATTTACAAATGCTTGATAGCACTTCCTGTTTATATTATATTTGTCTATAATAATTATGCCATAGTCTGATTCTAATTAACTTCCCCTATCATATTGTTTTTATCCTTTCAGCAAAACAGACTTACTTTGTCTGGAATTTCTATGCACACTCAGAGACCAGGAGCATATATATATATTGCTAAACAATGCATTTTGACATACACATCCAGGAAATCTCCCTTCTCTTTTAAATTACTAATCTCAAATTAAAATGTCTTATCCTGCAAATATTTATGCCTACCTTTAACTTAAATATCACTAAAACCAACTGGACTCCTTCAATATTCATATACGAGAGCAAGTAACAATGTGCCTTTTTATATCTTCTACAACTGTGGGAACATTAGAGTTTCTCTGATGCCAGGTTTCAGCATTGAACAGAAAACAGCTTAGTTTCTCCTACAAATTTCACACATTTAAGGACTTCAGTTAGGACACTTTCCAATATTACTTGAATTCCTTGCCTTGGAAAAAATATACTTCACRTAAAATAAAGAACATTCATTTAAAAAGAACCCAGCAGACTCCTGGAGCTGCCTTTCCATTTGCAAATGCACTCCAAATAGTGGAATGTAGAATAATAATAATATCTGGCAATAATAATGATTAAAATCAGTAAAATTAACCGATGTTTAAAAGGTCCAGTATGTATACTTAGTACTGCCTACTCAAATGACTAATATTTTTATATTGTTATTCCTGTGTTTCAGACTTTATGTGAAATCTTTTTCAAAAAAAGAGGGTAGAGAGTTTGTATTAATTCCTTAAAATTGAAACACTTGTGTAACATTCTTTTTTCCAAAGATCACATTTTTACAATAAATCACAACTATGAGATTCACAAAAGAACATCGAAGGATATTTCACTTCTCCTTTTGCAAAATCTGACCCACCATTTTAGAGTCAAATTAAGTAAACACAGTGACAGGCATGTTACACATATAGGCTGTACACTGGAACGCACTAGTTTTAAGTTAGGACTTGGATATGGATGAACAGGGACCAGTAGCATTTTAGCTCCAACAGATCAAGACTGATTCAGACAAAAATCAGTTGGAAGAAAAAGCTAGCAGGCAGTTGCTGGCAKGCTGGACAGAGATATGATGGAAAATCATAAGACTGCAATATAATCCTATTAAAACCTTTTAGATAAAGAACATAAATTTACTTAACGTTTAAGTTTAAATCTATTTCTGTTTCCTGAAATAAAAAAGAAGAGCAGCAACTTACTTTGTTAACTCTGAGAGATGGGGAAATTGCTTTACTTCATTTAGACCATTTTTGTAATAATAGCTGAAAATCCTCTCAAAGAGCTTTATAAACACTTAGGAATGTTCCAAATTTATACACATTTAGACATAATTGATGAGATCATTGATGAGATCACTGTACTGTCAAACTGTTGCACAGAGCAGCTAAGCAGGAGAAAAGTCATTTGCTAAATGGTACTACGTGGATCACACTGTAACAAGGAAATTCGCCATCCAGGAGGACTAACGCTCTGATGTTCACCAGAAATTCTCCATAAATTCATTAGTAGGTGTCAAAGGCAGTGGGCATCACATTTCATCTTACTGATGYGCATTTCTGGGAGCTACCACACTTCATAAGGGACCACAAGAGACAGGGATGGGAAGCGATCCACTTGGGTCCAGGGATCGGCTGCCCTGAGCAGGAGGATGAGTGTGGGGAGCAGGTTTGGAGAAGGACCCTGCAGAATTRGGACGTGATATCCCAGGCACAGATAACCCACAGCACCAGGTAACATGGGAATGGCAAGAGCCCCCATCTCACACATCTGGGTCCCTCTCCCTTGGTCCTGACAGCCAATAATCCAGCTATAAAACAGATGTGATAGATAAACCAAATAACAGAAACCTTCAAACGGAACTGTAGGTAACAATCCACCCTCAGCAGGTCTATTTCCATTGAGGTCTTGCAGGGGATAATTTCCAGCTCTTGGTTATATATCTTTCTATGCATACCTATGTATATATAGATGTGTGTCTGGGTGTATTAACAGGGTAAACACAACTCTCTATGCATGTGTGCACACACATACATATATAAGCCTATTTATATTCAAATAATCTGGAAAAAAAATCTAAAATATATTAGATGTCCAAAGACAAATTAAATAATATATAATAGAGAAGAAAACACCAGCACTGCACAGTTATTTGGGAATATAAGCACAAGCAGAGAAAAAGTTTTCTAGTAAAGTCCTACCCTGAGAAATGGAGAAGGAACAGCAGCATTCATGAGGAATCTAACTTATAAGAACAGTTACTCTGAAAGACTGCAGGCCATGATAGATAATCAAAGCATGAAGAAATTGCCAGTTTTTATGAATTGCATACATAAACTGCCTAATGGATTGAGGCAATCTTTGGATGTATAAACAGGGGAAAACATAGCCATATCTGGGAAGTTATTTATTTTTCTGATACCAGTGCAACTTCTCCAAAAGCACCATTTCTCATTTCTGGCATAATATTTAATGAAATACTAGCAGGGGTTCAAAAGGGAGCCCCGGGGACAATTAAAGAACTGGCTAACATGACTTCCAGTGAAATTCTAGGAGGTCAATAATTTTTCTTTATCAGAGAGGCTATTACAGAATGTTTAGTCCCAGTTTGCACATATCTAAGTTAAAAAAAAAAAAAAA